ACTTTAATTATTATAATAGAAAATTTATAAGAAATTTGAAAGAAATTTGAAAAAATCTCAAAAAGGTAAATAAACATATTTCAAACTTTTGTAAAATTACGAAAAAACAAAACAAAAGCTAAAATATTATTATCTTTATAAAAGAATAAAGACAAAAGAAGTATCAAGTAATATAATATTACAGAAAATAGAAATCTGTATCATATTTAAGAATTATATAGAAAATAATTACCCTATATTATTATATTATTATACAAAAATATATAGAAAAATAGAAAAAAAATATTATAAAATATTTATAATCATCTTTTAATAATGAATTATATAAAAATTCAGAAAGTAATAAAATATTACGAAATAAAATTTTCTACAATATATATTGAATTACAATGAAAACGATTAAATTCGAAATAATCTGAAAACAATAAATCTGAAATAAAATACATTAAAATATTAGCTGTTAAATTTTGAAAGTTTACGTTATTATTAAAAAATTTAGTATTGAACTTTAAAAGTTTTCAATAATGAAATAATACATATCGAAGGGTTGCAACATAATCGATAACCTTCAAAATCTAACATTGCAATATAATTTCGAAGGTCTTCAAATTAATATAATTACTGATGATTGTTAGAATTTCAGTATTAGGTTATTATATTATTGAGATAAATTAGAACTTATCAACACCTGAGAAACTTTATGTGTTGTTGAAGCATGGAATATAGATAATGAATCAAATTCAGAAGAAGATTCTGATAAAAATTCTCAAGATAGTAATACTTTAAATTCAAATATGACTACAATACCTAAATTAACTGATACCATAGATGGTTATTTAGATAATACTAAAATAAACAGATCCGTTCTAGTTAACCAAATAAAAAGAGTTACAAGACAAATTCATCAAAAATATACTAATGATTAAACTTATTTAATAAACAAATAGCAAAATTGATATCATGCTGAGACAGAGTAGGATTTGCATCAAACCAATTTGAATAATATCTTAAATGATCTTAACTTGATAACCACAACATATAACAATGAAAAAAATACATGTCAACAGTATTTTTTAGAATTACAACAATGTCATATCAGAATAGATACATTGGAAAATGATTTACATTTATGTGATATCCAGCTTGATCTTAAATAGGATAAGTGAAAAAATAGAACTCGAAATATAGAACAATTAATTTTAAATTTATAGAGACAAATTTTATTACTACAGAATAATTTACTATTAAATATAGTAGAAGCAAGATATTTATTAATATTAAAATTAATGGCACCTGCTTTAGCAAAATTTTAACCTTACATTAGTCAAGAATATACTTGCACGCAAAATTATTTTGAAGTCCCGAAATTGCAATTTCAGAAAAAAAAGTCGAAATAGTTTTTCATAGAAGACGAAATTATTTTACTTAAAACCCAAAATTTTTTGATCATCCAAATTTATTCTTTGATTAAAGATACATATAACTGGATACTTTTTTTACTTTCATATATAGAATAGATTCTATATAAATTTCAAAAAGTCGAAATACTTCAAAAATCTAAAATCAATTTTGAAAACATATATAACCAAAAGCCTTTCTATCAAATTTAAAAATAAAAGAAGATTATGAAAAATATTATGTTGCTAAATATTTTAAAAATTTAGGAATCTTTGGTGAAGACAAATATAAAGTACAACATCTAAATGAACCATTTAAAAGAACAAACCAATCTACTAGAATAGATAGAATAAAATCAAAAGTAGATGAAATTGAATAAATGACATCTCAATTTGAAAAAATAGTATTTAAAAATCAATCTGAAAAACAACTAAAAAAATCAAATTGAACATAACGATATTATCCTTTTCAATCAATAAAACAAGAAAATTATAACTATAGTAATAATAATAAAAATATTGGATATTCCTTAATCTGTAGAGCAGATAAATTTGCTTACTAATATAATTATATTTATAAATTTTTTTAATAAAATTTTAAATTTTGATTTTAAAAATATATTTTATATATAAAAAATATATTTCAATATATTCTTTAATAATTTTATTATAAAAATTTTTTAAGATTACTAAAGAATTTTTAAATAATAAATTTTTAAAATCCTTGATCAAAAATTTTCATTATTCCTTAATCTGTAGAGTAGGCAAATTTGCCTACGAATTTTATTTTATAAAATAAAATATCCAAATCAATTAAATTTTTAATATTATTAACTAATTGTGAATTTTGTCTGTAAATTTATAAATTTTATTTTGTATAACTAAAATATTCAAATCCATTTAAATTTTAACAAAACTAATTAATTGTAGAGCAGGTAAATTTGTCTGCTAATTTTATATAATCAAATATCTAAATCTGTTTAAATTTTAATTATAACTATCAAATTAACTTGTGAATTTTGTACAACAAATATTTAAATTTGTTATTTTGTGTAAAAATATTTAAGCAAGCTTACTTAAAATGTAATTTAGAAAGTTAAGTGGTAACAAATTTTATTTTTTGTGATATCTAGGAGGTTAAGTGATAGTAAATTTTATTTTTGTGATATCTAGGAGGTAAAAGATAATATATTAAATAGTGTATAGTAATTATAGAGATGGATAATTTTTTTTTATCATGGATGAAGAAAAAAATAATGGTTTTTATGTATGTTCTTTTACTAGAAATCATGAATTAAATGATTATGAATCTGATATTGAAGAAACAGATAACAAAAATAAAAAAAATTAATAAAAAAAATAAAAAACAATTTGAACCTTCTTATATATCATCTTTTGAATTTGTTCCTTTTCAACCTCTTTATTCATTACATGAAGCTTATTCAACTTTATTTAGAGACTTAGAATTAGAAAACCTCCTTCCTTTTTCAATTTTTCTTTAATTTTTTTTCATTAAGCAAATAGAAATTATTGTAAAAAATACTAGTATCTATGCATATATACATGGTACAAAAAAATGAGAAAATAAAAGTGGTGAAGGTCAAAGCTGAACTAAATTAACAATTGATGAATTAAAAATATAGTTAGTTATTATTCTTTATATGAGTATTTTTAAATTCCCAGCAATTGAGGATTACTGAAAAAAAAATATCTATTATCTATCACATGACACTGGTCGAAAATTGATAAAACATATATATATTGAGTACCTGATATGTACATGGTACGTCCCTAATATCAGACGTATTGTCACACCAATATATGGACAAGGGTCTGAAGGATAACTAATATTCTTTAACTAAACTAACTTAAACTACTTAAATAATTATCAGAATTTCTCGAGGATCACTAAGATCAACTCAATTCAATTATTTAATAGTAAATTCGAAGGAATATTACAAGATGAGTTCTTTATTGTGCGGGATTTTAACACATCAAATCAACTTGTCTGCTTAATAAGATGTATATGCTAAAGAGTATTTATACAAGATTAACTTAAGTTTTATTAAGAATTACGTGACAAATTAA